TCTCCTGAGCACTCCCGGGGACAGCTCTCCCCCGCACCCCTGCACCTCACAGGACCAGCCAGCTGCCTTCTCCTGAGCTCTCCCGGGGACAGCTCTCCCCTGCACCCCTGCACCTCACAGGGCCAGCCAGCTGCCTTCTCCTGAGCACTCCCGGGGACAGCTCTCCCCTGCACCCCTGCACCTCACAGGGCCAGCCAGCTGCCTTCTCCTAAGCACTCCTGGGGACAGCTCTGCCCCTGCACCTCACAGTGCTGAAGGCTGGAGTGACACCAAAGAAGCAAACTGCAAATTGCTCATTGACTATTCAGAAACGTCTAGTAACAACAGCACTATTTAATATTTCCTTGTTATTTCTCACACTGTAAGTGTGAAGCACTAATGCACGTTTTTCAGTCATTCAGACATTCCAGAATGCTGAAGCACTTCTCTTTATCCCTGCACACTGAGTATCACTCCATAGTCTACAAATAACTGAGCTGTGCAAACTGCTGTGCCCTAACATCTCATCTCTTTTTTCATCTACTCAATTTCCTTAATAAAAACCACTGACAGATAAATTTTCTATGTGGTGGTTAATATACTAAGTAACATGCATTGTTTGATTTAAGGTAGTCTTACAGTACAATTATGGGACAAGTCCTTTCTTTGGCCATTTACAAGACAAAGCAAACTAAAAGTTAAGGTTTAAATACCTTATCACAGATAATATCACTGAGCCACTGCATTCTTTTATTTATTTACTTACTTGAAAAGCAGAGTTACAGAGAGAGGGGATGCAGTGATCTTTGATTGACCGGTTCACTCCCCAGATGGCCCCAACAGCTGGGGTCACCTTGACCTCCGGCATGGGTGGTGGCGACTCAGACCTGTGGGCCACCTTGCACTGCCTTTCCTGGACCATCAGCAAGGAACAGCCACGACTCGAATCGGCACCCATTTGGCATGCTGGCATTACAGGCGGCTTTCCTGGCCACACCACAAAGCCAGCCTTGTGCCACAACTTTGTATTTGCTCAATTACAAGGATAATTAAGCAAATTTTGTTTGGTAAATGAAATTATATTAAAAAAAAAAAAAAAACCACCACCACAACAAAAACACACCCTGCTATTCGCTTTCCTTCAGTAAAATGTTCCCTTTACTTAACTCTGTCAGTTTTCAAGTAACTGGACTGTGTCACTATACTAGGAACAGCACGTACCATCTGCCCTTCCTTGTTTGTTGAAAGCAACCAGTTGCCCTGGGCTGCACTAGTTATTCACAACAGACGTCATACTTTTAAGGATGTGCTTGTAGAAGGGGGTCATCTGAACCCTTCTCCTATTAACGATATTTAATGACAAGGGTTAGCTACCTAAGCAATGAACACTCCTAGGAGTATAGTAAAATATATGCTGAAAATGTGCAATCAACAACTTCTATGAAAATTTGACCCTCAAATACCTGAGAACAGCGGTTTCTGGGTGAACCACCTAGCAATGTGTTGTTAAGTTTGCTACCCCAGGGTCCAGCGTGATAGCGCAGCAGCTAAGGTCCACGCCTTGAACGCACCAGGATCCCATATGGGCGCCAGTTCTAACCCCGGCAGCCCTGCTTCCCATCCAGCTCCCTGCCTGTGGCCTGGGAAAGCAGCGGAGAACGGCCCAAAGCCTTGAGACCCTGAACCCCGCATGTGGGAGACCCGGAAGAAGTTCCTGGCTCCTGGCTTCAGATTGGCTCAGCTCCAGCCGTTGCGGTCAGTTGGAGAGTGAACCATCGGACAGAAGATCTTCCTCTCTGTTTCTCCCCCTCTCTGTATATCTGCCTTTCCAATTAAAAAAAAAAGTTTGCTACCCCAGTGGGGACCAGCAGACCTGCCGAGCTGCGGGATGCTGAATGTGCTAGCACAGGTGATGCTCGGGACAGCCCGGGAGTGCTCACTGAGATGCAGGTGTGGAATCAGCGCTACACTGAGACACCAGGCAGCAATGTGGATACACCTGCTCTTCACCAGCCGGCTGACACGTGATAGCAATCAGTACAGAAAACACGTGGCCATCTTACATTTTTTCAAGTCATTTTCTGCTGCTGTGATGTTGACATACGCAAATACTTTCTGTGGGTTTCCTAAAAAAAGAAAATTAAATTTATTTAAAACTCGGCATCCAAAAATCAATGTAAAGATTATGTCTCTTTCAAAAGATGAGCCATAAGAAACTTGCTCTTTTAAGGAAACACTGCTTTTCTGTGGCCATCAAGTTACATTTTTCTAAACATGACTGTCCAAATACTCCAAAAGGAAAGCAACATTCAAATAGCTAAGAAATAATTTTTTAAAAAATTTTTAATAGAGCCCAGCACAGTAGCCCAGTGGCTAAAGCCCTCACCTTGCATGGACTGGGATCCTATATGGACACTGGTTCTAATCCTGGCAGCTCCACTTCCTATCCAGCTCCCTGCTTGTGGCCTGGGAAAGCAGTCAAGGACAGCCCAAAGCCTTGGGACCCTGCACCCGTATGGGAGACCTGGAGAATGTTCCTGGCTCCTGGCTTCAGATCAGCTCAGTTTGGGCCGTTGTGCTCACTTGGGGAGTGAATCATCAAACAGATCTTTCTGTTTCTCCTCCTCTTTGTACATCAGACTTGCCAATGAAAAAACAATCTTTAAAATTTTTTTTCACGGAGATACTTAAAAGGCAGTGTCAGATAACGAGAGAGCTTCATCTCCTGAGTCATTACCTCGATGGTTCAACCTGGAACTTCTCCCAGGTCTCCCACATGAGCGGCACAGGGACTAGGCACTTGGGCCGTCTTTCACTGCTTTTCCCAGGCCAGTAGCAGGAAGTTGGACAAGCAGAGGAACAGGCAAGGCTAGAACCAGTGCCCATTTGGGATGCCAGTGGTGCAGGCAGCAGCTTTATCCACTGTGCTACCACAGGAACCCTAAGGAAACATCCTGACTATACATCAGCGAAACACGATCTAGCGGGAGATTTTAGTAAACATTTCTAAAATCAAAATGGTTTTAAATTTCGCTGTTCAGAAACCGATGGTGACCAAGTTCTGCGTCAGACAAAGCACCTCCAGGGCCTCACAGATGGGGGTCAGCACTCACCCCGACATTCACCTGGGAGCAGTAACCTGAGCTAAACACACAGTGAAGGCCAGCACACTCACCCTGCTCGTCTTTCCGTGTAATGATCTCCACATCAGAAACATCTCCAAATCGGCTGAACTGACTGCGCAGGTCTGCCTCTGCAATGCTCTGGCTGAGGCCACCCACGAAGAGGCGCTTGGTTTCTTGGCTGGCTTTCATGAGGTCTGTGAATCCACTCCGTGTACTAAGGTGGGAAGAGCCAATTTTCCACATTCAGAGAAGAATTCAAACGGAACACCATCCCTGTCTGCCTTCAGTTTCGATGCCAGGCTTGGTCCCCCGGTCCTGACTTCTCCCAACCCCCTCCACGCCCTGCTGAAGCCATCATCTCACAACCTCTGGGACAGATATACACAGGTACACACGGTCTCACTTGAAATGACAGAAAAACGCACGCTCCGCTCCTCTTTGTGCACGATTCAGGGTTTTCGGTATTTTTCCAGGATTCATTAACACACACACATTTATTTACTTGAATAAACGCTGGCAGGAATACGATGTAGCAGACAGTAGTAGGCCAAAGCAGATAAAAAGCGCTCTATCCTCACAGTCCTAAGTAAAGAAATGCTGCAGATACACTATTTTGCTACCATAAAAAAAAAAAATGTCTGCAAAGTGCTGTTTAGGCACAAAGAGCAACAATAAGGGCTGGTTTGATTATGCCCCTGTATGAACAATTACGCATACACTAGTTTGTTTCTACGTATTCAAGTCCTATTCCCAAGGATACACAGAACATCAGTGGTGAGAATAGAATTAGATTGCGGGTCTAACTGCAGAACCTCAGGTTCTTGACATCGCATCACTAAGATGCTCGCACGAGGGACTGGCAGGAGCATCTGCAAAGCTACTGAAGTCAGCCGTCCAGCACGTTCCACCCTGACGTTTCCCAGCACGCGGGCGAGAGCTCGGGCGTACCTCTCCCGGGCAGCCTCGGCGCCTCAGCAGCACGCCCACGCAAGCCTCCTGCCTCCCTCGCAGGCCACGCAAGGCTGACACGGGAGAGGACAGACCCACCGTCCCGCCACGTTCCGAGCCCCACTTGCCCCTCGACACTTCCGGCGGCGACAGCCGGCTCCCATGCACAGGAACTCAACTAGATACACAGCTCTCCCTTCCCAAGCCACTTCCAACCCCGCCATCTAAGGTTCCGGGATCACTTAGTTTCCCGAGACTCATTTCTTCACTCTCAGCCGTCTCCTTGCCTCCTCCATCTCTTCCATGCCCTTAAGGACCCCAAACTGAAATCCGCCCACCCCCTTTATTTTTCTTACCGAGGAGGATTATCGCCTCCCGGTTAGCCTCTCTTGCGTGAGATCGACGGAAATAAAGGGGCGGAAGATAAATAAAGAGGCGCTCCCTTTCGGGGCATCCGGGAAACACCCCCTCAATGACGTAAGCGTCGAGTCGTTCCAAGGCCGCCTGTGGGGGGGAGCCGGGGAGTACTCGGGTTTGGAATTGGAATGAGCCAAGTCTGGGTGAGGTAGGGACTTTGCTAGCGGACGGCCTAGTGACTCGCAAGGGGACGTCTAGGATTGTGTGCGAAGCGCCCCGCTGTCCGGGCCGCGAGGGTCCCGCAGGTCCCACTGGTCCCCCCCCCGCGGGAGCTGCGGGATGGTGCGCTCCGGGAGCGCGCGCGGCTTGAAAAGCTGGGCCGGCCGGGCGCGGGCAGGGAAGGCTTAGGGGCTGCAGTTGCAGGCTTCGGTGGGCTGCTGCTGGACGCTGCCGTGGACGCTGCCGTGGACGCTGCCGCGCGCTGCTGCTGGGCGCTGTCGTGGACGCTGCCGTGGGTTGCTGCTGGGCTGCTGCTGGGCGCTGTCGTGGACGCTGCTGGACGCTGCCGTGGGCCCCGCCATGGACCCCGCCATGGACCCCCTGCGCGCCGAGGCCCGCGCTCTGCAGGCGGAGATCGCGGCGCTGCGCCGGGCTTGCGACGACCTGCCCGTGCCCTGGAAGGAGGCGTCCAGACTCCAGTACGTGGCCCCAGCACTCTGAAGCCGCTGTCGGTGTGTGTGCGTGAGCCAGGCAGGGGCTTCTCCGCACAGCCCAGCTCTCCTCCCGCGTCCGCTGGGCGGGAATCGCTCCCTCGGCGTGGGCTTCGAGTCTTGTCCTTAGCGGTCGTGAGCCAATCCTTTTGCTAGGAGTTCTCTGGGTTGACAAGTGTTGACAAGTGTTTGTGCCTTGCCTTCGGCCAGTGGTCAGCAGTTCCTCTTGAGGTGTCCTTGTTTTTTGACGCATCCTCTGATTATGACAGGCGATATTGCTATATCACCGGTTCTAATCCCGGCGGCCCACTTCCCATCCAGTTCCCTGCTTGTGGCCTGGAGCCTTGGGACCCTGCACCTGCATGGGAAACCCGGAAGAGACTCCTGGCTCCTGGCTTCGGATGGGCACAGCTCTGGCTGTTGTGGCCACTTGGGGAGTGAATCAGCAGACGAAGATCTTTTTCGGTTTCCTCCTGTCTGTATATCAGACTTTCTACTAAAAAAAAAATCAGTCTTTGAAAAAAAATTTTAACGGAGGCTCTTGGCTTCAGATTAGATCACCTCCTGCTGCTGCCTCTTGGAGACTGAATCTTCCTGTCTCTCCTCCTCTCTGTATACCTAACTTTGCAATAAAAAATAACTTTTAAAAATCCACATTAGGGAAATATTTAGTGTAATCTGGAGAATAATTTTATGCCTCGGTGGTAGGTTCTAATTGTTAACTCCGTTTTAAAGTTAGTAAATCCCAGAGATTATCGAAAGAATTGTCAGTGGGATTGGAATCTCAGAGTCCAGGCACTTCCTTTGTTTAAAGGAGAGGAAAGATCTGTTATTTTTATGCTCTCCCTGTGTCTTCTCAAATTTATAGCCCACTTGGAAAAAGGATTTTTTTAAAATCATGGCTCATGGGATGCAAAGAAATTTCCTCAGCTACAAAGAGTTAGCCAGCTAAGGAAAATGTGTGAAAGTGGAGAGGTGATCAGGAGAATAAGCCTAGAGGCACTTCTCTCCAAGGGAAAGGTCCAGAGAGCAGTTGAAGAGCCTCCCTCCTCCAGGTGTGCCCCGTGATTGGCAGTGTGAGTGTAACCTGGGAGTTGCCTGGAAGAGACTTAAGCTCACCGGGATCTACTGATTTAAGGTTGGCCTTAGCAAGCCGCCTGCCTCCCCCTGAGCAGCACTGTATGGTACTAGGAGGCAGCAGGTCTTACTGGCCACAAGGTGTCATCCTTACCCCGGGTAAAGATCCGACCAGTGTGCCTGCTAGGGTAAGAATCCTGGGAGGGACCTGGTGCCATCATGCATTGCCCACTGGTGCGCATGAATGCCAGAGCTGGAGGGGATCTGTCTGGCAGGGCATTGCCATAGTACCAACAGTGAGTTTTGGGGCAGGGGATGCAAGCTGGGCCATGACACCAACTAACACGCAAGAGGACTAGGTGTGGGGGCATGTTCTGTTATGGGATATGTGGGGGAGCCCCTGTAGGGCTGCAGGAGCCGCTGGTTTGTGCACGAGCTGGGAATGGTGACCAGCCAAGCGAGGCATAGCCATGGAAGTCACAGACACTCATGGGAACTGGGCTTGGGAGCAGGCTGGGTTGGCATAAATGTAGCATCTGTGGGCGTACCGAGCATTGGGTCTGGGGGAGGAGTAGACTGTAGCAAGCACCCAGCCGCAGCAGTGAGAGCTAGGTCTGGGAGCAAGCCTGGTGGGAGAAGGTAGGGGGATTCTACTAAGTTGTAGCTTCTGCTGGGGGTGGACCAGGCCAGGCAGGGTTGGACTACTGGTCAGCATGTGTGTGAGGACTGGTTTGGGTTGTGCCAAGCCTTAACACTGGCATGCATGGGAACCAGGAGTTTTGGCCATGCCAGACTGGGCTGCTTTACCGCTGGCTCACATGAGAGCCAAGGATGGGGGTGGGCTGTGCAGGGCTGGGCTACTGCACCCATTAGAAGGAGATGGGACTGGGAAAGGTCCGTGCCAGGCTGGGTTGGAACACCATAGCATGCGCAGGATCCTAGCTAGGAATGGGCCTGGTAGGGGAAGTAAAATCCTTACACTTGGGGACAAAGATTATCAAAACATATTGAGAAAATACCCCCTCACAGGGCCCAGCGTGGTAGCGTAGTCACTAAATCCTCACCTTGTATGCGCCAGGGTCCCATATGGGTGCCAGTTTGTGTCCTGGCTGCTCCACCTCCCATCCTTGTGACCTGGGAAAGCAGAAGAGATTGACCCAAAGACTTTGGACACTGCACCCCACATGGGAGACCCAGAAGAAGCTCCTGGTTCCTGACTTTGCATTAGCTTAGCTCCAGTCTTGTGGCCACGTGGGGGAGTGAACCAGTACATGGAAGATCTTTGTCACTGCTCTCTGTATACCTGCTTTTCCAATTAAAATAAGGAAATCTTTAAAAAGAAAAGCAGAGAAAGTGGAGTAGCATCCAACCTAGTTATTAACTAATGTTTAACTTTATTTCTGAGTAAAATAAACATGTATTCTCAATGAAGAATGGTATAAGTTAAAACATACTATTATTTATTTGTAATGTTTACCCGTTAGATTTCCTGAGAAACTCTTCTTAGCCTAAAATGTTCTGTACTATTAATTTGCTTGAAACTTGCCAATTTTTTCATACACCTTTTTAAATTCTTTGAAATGTTTTAGGGTATTGGATGGTTGAATCGGAAATTTATAGGTTAGAACTGACATTTTAAAAATTATTGTAAATTATTCCAAAGATGTTTGTAATGTATAGAAGTATGGCAGCATAATTTGATTTGTTCATTTTTGTCGAAATTCAAGATGGCAGTGCACATTTGTTATGAGAAAATTCTTACTGTTGATGGGAAGAAGGGCAAAATGGGAATGGTTGAAGAAAATCGGTGGTATTCGTTGAAAAATGCGTTGTTGGGGTAACTCTTTCTGATGCTTGCTTTTTAGACTGTTATTCCGAGATGCACAGCCTTCGGGATCTGCACGGTGGGGCTCTGCAGAAGGTCTGAGGGCTCAGGTTGGACGCTTAGAGTCAGAGCTTTCATTTCTAAGTGCCCTGACCGGCATCAACATAGGAAGCTACTGCAGGAAGACGGAGGACCTCACAAGCACAGACATGGCAGAGAAGGGTAAGCGTGATGTTGGTATTTATTTCATTCTGCATCAGAAATTGGTTATCACAGTGACGGATTCAAATTCTACAGATTATTTCCGAGTGTGGGTGTGACAAACATTTGTGTCAGGTGTCTTTTGAACATCACACTATGCGTGATACTCTTGAAGAGTGAACGTAGTCACTTTTAGCAGGTACTTTAACAGTCAAGTCATTGAAAGAAAATGCACCATTGATGACATTTTTTTTATCATTCCTCATGGAAGTGAAAGCTACCTCATCTAGTCTTTCACTGTAAATTGTCATGGCCTGTGGCCATGTCCCAGTGGCCAGGCCTTTTTCCAGAAGGGAGGCTGCTGGTCCCAATGATTAATTTTTTTTTTCACTGAAATAATGTGTGGTAGTGGAGAGGGAGAGTGTGGGTACCGTGCAGAGTGCTCTGAGGCACGCTCAGAGTGTGGGCACTCATTGGAGTGGGGAGGTTGGCTTACGTAGAGAAATGGAGTTACGGAATTTCCAGACTGAGTGGCTTGCAAGGACCCGGTAGAGTTACAGGTGCAGAATGCGGAAGGCCTGGGGTAACACTTCCTGCCATAAAAATCAGTATGAACACCGAACAAGGCATCTGAAGAGAGCAGCTGTGGCCACAGTGATTTAGATTTTCAATTTCAGACTGAGATATCACAAGAGATGTCTTCCTTCTAGGCAATCTAGGCAATCTGTATTCTTTCTCTTTTTTTTAAATGCTTAAGATAAAAATTATAAAGAGAAAGATTTAACGCCGGGAATTTAAATAGCTATGAGAATGACCCGAAGTGGTTCAGGAGATTATTAAGTTAGAGTGATAATGGCACTTGAAGGGGAAATATTTTCAACACAAAACAAGACTGACAAGAGCAGCCTGATGGGATCCAGACAGGAAGCATCCCAATCATATTACAACGGGAGCACGTGTCATGTCTTGCATCGCTCTTTCATAACATGAAATCGACGTGAGTGTAGAAAGCTGCAGATGGAACAGCCTGAGAGGCTTCACATTTTGCAAACGCTTGAAAGCTCAGTCATTTTTCACATTTTCTGTTTGGTATAATATGTAAAAGCTTACCAGGTACAGTAAATGATCATTTCTAAGGCCAAGTGCTATGACGTTGCTCAGAACGCTAGTTATAGTCTTGTATTTTAGAAACTTTTTTTTTTTTGCAGAGTTTTTCTTGTGTTGAGCGAGGTAAAAAGTAAAAGGGTTTGATTCAGGACCCACCGCAGTAGCCCTAGCGGCTAAAGTCCTCGCCTTGCATGCGATGGGATCCCATAGGACCGCCGGTTCATGTCCCAGCTGCCCCACTTCCCATCCAGCTCCCTGCTTGTGGCTTGGGAAAGCAGTGGAGGCTGGCCCAAAGCCTTGGGACCCTGCACCCGCATGGGAGAGCCAGAAAAAGCACCTGGTTTCTGCCTTCAGATTGCACAGCTTTGGCCTTTGTGGCCACTTGGGGAGTAAACCAGTGGATGGAAGATCTTTCTCTCTGTATATCTGACTTTCCAATTAAATAAATAAGTAAATCTTAAAAAAAAAAAGTCTTGACTCAGAGTGTGTCAGATGACCTGTGATTCTATCAAATTCTTTTTTTTTTTTTTTTTTTTTAAAGATTTATTTTTATTATTTTTTATTGGAAAGGCGGATATACAGAGAGAAGAGACAGAGAGGAAGATCTTCCGTCCGATGATTCACTCCCCAAGTGAGCGCAACGGGCCGATACTATGCCGATCCGAAGCCAGGAGCCTCTTCTGGGTCTCCCACGCGGGTGCAGGGTCCCAAAGCTTTGGGCCGTCCTCGACTGCTTTCCCAGGCCACAGGCAGGGAGCTGGAAGGGAAGCGGGGCTGCCGGGATTAGAACCGGCGCCCATATGGGATCCCGGGCGTGCTAGGCGAGGACTTAACCACTTGCGCCACCGCGCCGGGCCCTATCAAATTCTTAATTAACAAATATATGCTGCTCTGGCTGAGTCACTTGGCTAGGGAGCTGCTGAAAACACAACTCTTTGAAGTTATTCCTTTCAGCAGCAGTTAATTGTGCTGATAATGGTCTTCTGGTGTGTTCATGAATGTATCTGAAGCTAGATAATCAGATGATCTTTGATCATTCACAGGTGGAGAAAGAGCTCCCATCAGCAACAATTCCCAAATGCCAAAACCACTGGGGCCAGAAGCCAGAAAAATAGTCCAGGTTTCCCACATGAGACAAGAACCCAGTTACTTGCACTGATTCACTCCCCCAACTGACTTAAATGGCCAGACCTGTGCCAAGCGGAAGCTGGAAGTCAGGCGCTTCCTCCTGGTCTCCTGTGGGGGGTGCAGGGGCCCAAAAACTTGGGCCATTCTTCACTGCCTTCCAGGCCATTGGAGGGAACTGGATCAGAAATGGAACAGCCAGGACACAAACTAGCACCCATATGATGCAGACGCCATAGGCCGAAGATTGGCTGCACGCCCCATCATGCTGATCCTAATTCTACCAGTTTTATTTCTCAGTATCACGCTGGCTGTTCTGGATCTGTTGCCTTTCCATGAATGCCTGATTATATATATTTCTGGAGTTTTTAAATGGATTGTGTTGAATGTATAGATCAAGTTTGGAAGAACTGATTTCTTAACAATATTGAATCTTCTGTAGCTATTTTTTAAATTTCAGTTGCAATTCATGAACGGAGTTGCATTTAGCTGTCATGTCTCTTTTAGTCTCCTTTAATCTGGCCAGCCCCTTTGTCTTGTGAACGACAGTGATGTTTTGAAGGCCACTTGTATTATAAATTGTCCATCGGTCTTTTTTTCCCCTGATACATTCTTGAGATTCAAGCTATGCATTTTTGACAGGAAAACTCTAGGAGTGATGTGCTCTTTTTTTTTCCTAAGATTTATTTATTTTTATTGGAAAGTCAGATTTATAGAGAGAAGGAAACACAGAGAGGAAGATCTTCCGTCCAATGGCTCACTTCCCAAGTGAGCGCAACAGCTGGTGCTGAACCGATCTAAAACCAGGAGCCAGAAACTTCCTCTAGGTCTCCCACACGGGTGCAGGGTCCCAAAGCCTTGGGCCGTCCTCAAAGCCTTGTGGCTTTCCCAGGCCACAAGCAGGGAGCTGGATGGGAAGTGGGGCTGCCGGGATTAGAACCGGCGCCCATATAGGATCCCGGCACGTTCAAAGTAAGGACTTTAGTCACTCACTAGGCCACCACGCCAGGCCCGAGGTGATGTGTTCTTAATGGTACATCTAGTCAAGATACAAATATTGTTATTTTGTGTGATTGTTTTTCCTCTAACGACATACTGAACCGGTCTTCCTGTTTTGAACCCCAGGCCACCTACCTGTGTAAGTGCTTGAGGCTGCTATTTCAAGTTCCCTTTCTAGTACCCTTTTAAGTGTCCTTATTGCTGGAATTTTGCTTTGCTGACTTGATTTTCAGGCTCCCAGTGTCTGCCAGATGTAGTTCATCTGTCTGATTAAAGCTTCTTTTTTTTTTTTTCTCTTAAATATGTATCCTTGTAAAAATAACTTCATTAGGAGCAGGTGTTGAGCCTAGCAGTTAAGATGCCTGCTGGGATGCCTGAATCCTGTGTTGGGATGCCTGGATTTGAGCTCTGGCTCCAGATCCATCCTCCTCTTAATGCAGCAAGCGATGGCTCAGGTAGCTGAGTTCCTGCCACTGGTGTGGGGTACTGCAGTTGACCTCCTTTCCTGGCTGTGGGCTTTTGCGGGCACTTGGTTAGTGAGCCAACAGATGGGAACTCTGTTGTCTCTCTCAAAAATAAATAAGAACTAGGATTGTGGCATAAAGAGGTAGGTATGCGCTTGCAATACCAGCATCCCATATCAGATCACGTGTTCAAGGCAGTGGAATATGACTCATTCATGCTTTTAACTGCACAGAGTGTCTTATTCTTAGAACTGGCATTGCAGCACAAAGGGTTAAGCTGGCATCCTGTCTGCGTGCCAGTTCAAGGCCCGCTTGCTCCACTTCATCTCCACCTCCCTGCTCATGTAGCTGGAAATCAACAAAAGGTGAAGGCCCAAGTACTTGGGCATCTGCTGTCCTTCCGGGAATCCTGGACAGAGTTCCGGGCTCCTGGCATCGGCCTAGCCCACAACCAGTAAATTGAAAAGTGAGCTGGTAGATTGAAAAATCTTTCACTCTAGTTCTCTTTTCTCATCTTTCTGTTGCACTTTCAAATAAATACATAAGTAAATCTTAAAAAAATAACTTCATTAGCAAAACTACATGCCTGTGAAGTCAGAAGTATTTCTTGACAGGTGGGGTTTAGCTTGGGAAAGGATATGAAGGAAGCTTACGAGAGACTAGGAAATTCTGTGTTTTGAGTGGGATAGTAATTGCATTGGCAAACATGTATAAAAATTGAGCAGGGCCTGGTGTGGTGGCCTAGCAGCTAAAGTCCTCATCTTGAACGCACTGGGATCCCATATGAGCGCCGGTTCTAATCCTGGCAGCTCTACTTCCCATCCAGCTCCACTTCCCATCCAGCTTGTGGCCTGGGAAAGCAGTCAAGGACGGCCCAAAGCCTTGGGACCCTGCATCCATATGGGAGACCTGGAGGAAGTTCCTGGCTCCTGGCTTCAGTTCGGTTCAGCACCAGCACTTGCAGTCACTTAGGGAGTGACTCAGTAGATGGAAGATCTTCCTCTCTGTCTCTCCTCCTCTCTGTATATCTGACTTTCCAATAAAAATAAAATAAATCTTTTAAAAAATTATTGAGCAATATACTTTAAAATATAACTTATAAAAAAAGATTTATTTGAAAGTTATTTGAGAGAGAGAAAGAAAAAAGATAATTTTTTATCTGCTAGTTCATTCTCTAAATTGCCATAACAAAACTAGGCACCTGGGGCCCAGCACAATGGCCTAATGGCTAAAGTCCTCTTCTTGCAACCTTTGGGATCCCATATGGGCGCCAATTTTTATACCAGCTGCTCCAATTCCCATCCAGCTCCCTGCTCGTTGCCTGGGAAAGCAGCAGAGGATGACGCAAAGCCTTGGGACTCTACACCTGTGTAGGAGAGCCAGAAAAATCTCCTGGCTTCAGATTGGCACAGCTTTGGTCTTTGTGACCACTTGGGGAATAAACCAGTGGGTGGAAGACCTTTCTCTCTGTCTCTCCTCCTCTCTGTAAATTTGATTTTCCAGTAAAGTAAAAAAGTCTTACAAACAAACAAAGCAGGAACCTGGAATTTTGTGCAAGTCTCCTACATGGGTGGGAGGGACCCAAGTTCTTGGGCCATGTTTGACTGCTTTTCCAGGAGCATTTCCGAGGAGGTGGATCAGAAGTGGCACAGCCAGGATTTAAGCCCATGTCCCTAAGGGATGTCAGCACGCAGCCAGTAGCTTAACCCCAGCCCTTAAGAATAGGCCATTTTATGCATTTAAATGTGTGCATATTATACCTCAAAGATGTGGTTTATCACCGTCATTTTAGTGAAATTTTGAGAGTATGGTACAGGTACATGTGTTGAAACAATGAAAAATCTAATTTGGGGGCAGCATCATCACATAGCAGATTAAGCTGTTGCCTGTCTTGCCGCCATCCTGCGTGGGTGCCAGTTCATGACCTGGCTACCTGGCTGCTCCATTTCAGATCCTGCTGTTTGCCAGAGCACCTGGGAAAAAAGTGAAGATGGCCCATGTGATTGCACTCTGCTTTTACATGGGGGACCCTGAAGAAGCTCAGGGCTCCTGGCTTTGGCCTGGCTGTGTGGCCATTTGAGGCGTGAATCAGCAGATTCTCTGTCCTTTCCCTATAATTTTCGTTTTCAAATAAATAACAACATCTAGTAGTTAATATAATTCACAAACTTGGGCCCAGCGCCATGGCCTCGCAGTTGAAGTCCTCACCTTGAACACACCGGGATCCCATATAGGCATGGGTTCTGATCCCAGCAGTTCCACTTCCCATCTAGCTCCTTGCTTCTGGCCTGGGAAAGCAGTCGAGGACGGCCCAAAGCCTTGGAGTCCTGCACCTGCATGGGAAACCTGGAGGAAGTTCCTGGCTCCTGGCTTCAGTCGGCGCAGTACCAGCCGTTGCGCTCACTTGGGGAGTGAATCATCGGGTGGAAGATCTTCCTCTCTGTCTCTCCTCCTCTCTGTATATCTGACTTTGTAATAAGAGTAAATAAATCTTTAAAAAAAATATATATATATATATATATATAATTCACTAACTTGCCTAGGGTTTTCTATAAGCTTTTATGTTCTGAGGAAGAACAAAATTTATGTATTTACACAAATATGTATTTCTTATAATAAACATTGGCATGACTGAACTAAATAGTGCAAATTGTTACAGATTATATTTTGCAAGGATAATTTGATGCAGAATTCCAAAGTTTTGCATTCAGTTATTAATACAGTGTCACATAAGCATCTCCATGTGGTATGGATTCAAAATTAAGCATATATTTGAACAAAATTGTTCTTTGTAAACAGAATTTTAAAAATTATTATCATTTTATGATACAGTTCCATAGGCCTCGGGATTTCCATTCTCCACATCCCAAATCCCCTCCCCCCGCTAAGTTCCCCTATATTATTACTAAAGAGAATTTTAATTTTTCTGATTTGCAGGTATAAAGAAAGTTGTACAGAAATACAGACTATCAGGGAATTGCCACGTGGTTACATTTCAACTGGAGTTTCGGGTCCTGGAAATTCAGGTAAATTAAGCAGCTTGTTGTGAGATGTTTCTGCCATGAGTGGTTCATCTCATTTAGGAGGAGTTCATGAGCCAGAGCTGCCTTAGAACACATGGATATATAGTGATACCATTAAAATCTTTTGAACTGTAAACACCTCAGCAGTTTCCTATGATTGAGTTGTTCAAGTCTTGGGTGCTTAGGTAGGCCAATGGTGGGGTGCAAGTGGCCTCCCAGTCGGTGGTTGTGAGAACAGTCTTGGATACCCCTGGTTGTTAACTGGTATGCCAACCATCTGTTGTGTATTGGTGATCCGTACCTGCTAAACAAATTTCCTCAACATTTAGAATATTAAAACAACCAAGACTCCTTGCCGTCTGACCCATTTTCTGTGGGGCAGAGATGTGGGAACAGCTCAGCGTGGTGTCTCCTTGTTCAGGGCCCTTGATGAGGTTGTGAGTGGTCAACTGTAACCACAGCCCTCCCCAGGCTGTTTGGGCTAGATGATCCTGCAAGTTGTACTGAACTCCTGAGACACAACCCACAGAAGATGGCTTTGGCTAAGACTGTCATAAAAGATCAGGAAACAGAAAATAATAAAGCACCCAGAATGGTAACATGTAGCCCCTTTGGCCATCTGGTTGTAAGAAGAGTGGGGTCTGGGCCAATTAGAGCCGACTTAGGCTGGGCACGTTGCTTGGATGGCAGAGAGCAGTTTCAACTGGTCGGCGTTGCCAGCATGCCCTGCAAGGTATGTATACAGAGACGAGACGTGTGACGGAGGAGGCAGACTGCCTTAGTCTCAGCTCTTCAGATAACAAATGGATTTGGAGCAGTTGTCACATTGGCACACCGAATGCTCTCCCATGGGCAGGCATCTCTTGGTGGACCACGCCTACAGCCCAAAGGAAGTTCCACAGTAAGCGTGTGAGCCAGGCGTGTTCCTGAGAATTTCTACCATCCAATTAACATTGTCTGGCACTGTTCAGAGGTGCTTGTAACATGCGGCCTGGATTTCTCAGTTTCTGCTATGGTGTTCATCTCTTTCCCAGTTGTTCTGGGTTATCTGGAGAGAAGTTAGAATGTGAACATGTTAATCTGATCCTTTGGAGACTGGTAAATCAACTGCAGAGAGAAAGCCTGTCTGGACTGAAGGTGTACGGTGCTAAGGGATTGTTTGGTATGCCTGTATTGGGCAAGTGTTGACTACAGTGTTTGAACTTCATTTAAGACTCACATTGTGATCTCTTATGGAACAAATCAAGCAATGATTTGCCATCCTGAGATCAAGTTGAAGCAGACTTCAACAGTGTTTTTAGTTCATATTCTGATCCTCTTACCACCAAATTATTTGCAAGCTTGATGATTAAATGTTAATGGCCTGAAGTTAACACTGTTTGCTTATGGGCTGCATGTATTACAATTATTTGAGCTGTGTGTGGTGGAACTGCTCCCATTGGCTACACTAAATCAGTGATGACCATATTAGCATTTTTGACATCAGAGAAGGCTAATCTCTTCGAGGGATACTTTCTAAAAGTTCCACACCCATCATCTTCACTTACATTTTATAGCAAGATATGCTAAAAATTTAGTATTCATTATACTAGCCGTGTGACCATTGAAAACTGGGGCAAGAAGAAAGTGCAAGTATTGGGTTCTTTTTTTAAAATACTAAATTCATGTTGTTTTGATGATTACATAGTTGGGAGAGATGCATGCTCATGTGGCGCTCCAATTAAAGTTGGGAGCGTCGAGGAGTGGGGGAAACTGGATGAGACAGCTGTCTCCAATCTCCTTTTTCATTCTGGAAGCAGGAAAGTGGAGAGAAGGGGGAGAGGGAGCCACTCCCAGCAACCCAACCACATCAGTTCCCAGGAATCGGGAAGGCCACTGTTGTCCTCCAAGGTTCCCCAATATAGAGCAAATGCAGAAGGTACTGCTTAAGTGGTTTTGATAGTTCTGAGATGCTGCTGATTTCATTGCTCCAAGATTGAGGCAATCCTTCCAAATTCCATTAACTGATATAGTCCCCCTTAGAGTCTCCATTCGCCCAGATACTTGTCTGGGAGAGCTGTCCAATTTGTTCTGCCTGCACTGGTCTTAGATGTCTTCTGCAGGCCTCAATGAACTGGATACCATATCCCCCATGTGCATCTGGACTTGCTGTCCACTACACAGGCCTCAGCAACTGCAGAGACCACAGATCCTATGATTTTCACTGTGGTTGGAATTACACGTTCAGTGATCTAGTTAGGGGGGAATCCCCCAAAGAAACCTGGAGATGACCCAGAATTGACTCCTGTGTGTGCCTGCTGGTATGGGGTCCATCACCCACACCAGCCTTATTTACACCCTGGTAGTTGCTGTCACCTGGTCAGTTCTGTCCCCAGCCCCATCTCATACCAAACCAATGGATGCTACAGCCCAGCCTAACTTCCCACCACACACTCTGCCATCATGTATACCGGCAGGAACTGCAGCCTGGTCAGAGCAACCCCCCAGTAACCCGCCACCAGCCCTGGTTCCTATGCTTGCCAATTTGTATACCAGACTAATGCAGACAGTTCCATATCCCAGTCAGCTGTTTTCATATCAATGGACACTGGAGCCTAGCTCAACCCAACTGACCCCAGTATCCAGCCCACACTTACACTGGTGGGTGCCACCACCTGTGCAGCTAGGCGTGCCCACCAGCCCTGGCGCTCATGCTCATCACTGGGAGATGCAGCCCATTAGATTGGTGTCCCTCTAGTGGGGACTGGGACTCTAGGTGTGACGTCTGCACCGAGAAGAACTTTGGGACACAGGGGGTGCACAGGCGAGATGAACCAATCCACACTTTATTGAATTTTTCTGGGCTTGTTATACCAATTTTTTGCAGGACAAACAGGTCAGTAAAAGTTACAAGTTAACTGAACAATGGGATTAGGGGAAACAATCACCAGCCAGTTAAGTAAACATGAGTTACAGGAATCAACACCAGTAAACAAACATCTAACTAGAAAAGGAATCTAACAGAACCTTGTACTCAGATGCTTTTAGGCCACAATCACTAAAGGAAGAGGGAGATAATGAAGACACCTCACACCTCCCTAGAAATGTTAGCCAGCACGGTTTGTCCACAATCCCAGCAGGGAGTCTGCTCCCTGCAGCATTCTCAGTCTGCTGAGAAAGGTTGAGATTCGGAGTCCTCGGGCATCATGATCTGGTCTTTAGTGGGCAGATTTCCACAGTTAAGAAATCTCCACAGAGATGCTCATAGTTTCCTTGCTGGGCCCATTCTCAGCCCTGCATTCTGTACTTCCCAAGTGGTTCTATGCTCTAGTCTGACAGGACTTGCCCCCAGTCCCAGCACTTGCCAGCTGATCCTGAGGCAAAGACCAACAAGCCTGCAATTACTATGGCTCATGCTCGTACCAGTGGATAAGTTTGCTTAGCCAATCCAAGGTATGTTGTCTCCATGCACAGCCTGGGCTCGCCTCCCCATCCTGGATCCTTCATGTACCTGTGGGTGCTGTGGCCCAGTGTAGCATGGCTCACCTCATCTCTACATCCACCAGCGGTTGCTGCAGCCTAACAGCCAAGCCAGCCCCAAGTCACAGCTTTAATGTGAATTAGCTGGTGTTGTGGCCCAACACAGTCCATCCTGGTTCTCATATCTGCCAGTGGGTGCTGTGAACTGGCCCAGCCTGGCCTGCTCTTAGACCTGACCTACACGTATGCCCGCTGGTACTGCATCCTGACTTGTCTGGGTCGCTCCCAGCCTTGGTTTGCGCCCAACCGCAGGGACTGCGTGCATCCTCACCGAGTTCAAGTATTGGATTTTTTTTATTATTTCCACTAGAGGGAGATATTTAGTTGCCAGAAAATTGGGAAGAATTAAATAAAGTTTTATATTTAAAAAAAAAAAGCCTCACTTTATACAATTTGTAGATTTATTTTTGCATTGTGTGTTTTTACTAGTGTAATATTTTAACCAACAGTGACCTTATGCATTACATGTCCATGTTTTTATAAGGAAATGTACTTGAAGAGCTTGATTGCTGGTGTTGGTATAGCTGTGATTGTCAGAGGTGATCAGAAGGTGGACCTCTGGTCCCCAGATTTGCTGTCTGGTGTTGTTGATAATGTAATGTTTGTGGGGCATTGTAAAGGCATCAGAATGAGCATGCATACTGCCAGCCCTCCATAGTCCATGTAGCAAAATCAGACCAGGGCTGGGGAGTTGGGGAGGCAGTTAGGGAAGTGACATCCTTAGTGTGTTGGCATAACCTCTGTTCCTGAAATCCAGTAAAATGAACAGAATTACTCAAGCTTTGGAAAATTTCTTATTGGAGAGTTTCTGATGTTCACAGGCTATAAAAACCTGATTTTTGACATTGGAAACAGATGATTGAAGTCTGTTACAGGATGCATTATGCGAGCAATGTGGATTTTGTAAAGTTAGCAGGAGCCCTTTTGTGTGCCCCTCTGTACCCACAGTCCTTACATGGTGGAGGAGATTGAGAGCAGCAAGCCTAAATTTATGGACCATGGTAGAACGGAAAATATTGCTGAGACTCCCCAGTGGCTTTGAGTCACGCTGTTTATAAACTTCTTCCCCAACCTACCAGCTGAGAAGTGGTGTGGTTAGCACTCCCACAGGCAGGAGAGAAATGGAAAAACCTTATGCACAAGTCAGCTTTCCAGCGGTTGAATGTAATCCCCAACCCACCAAAGGGAAAAAGTAAGAAAAAGAAAGACGTGCCAGTAAATCAGATTTTGTGTTGATGAAAGGCAAACTCTAACATTTACCCACCTCTGTCCTTACTAAAGAGAAGTCCTCCGAGAGTTTTCTTTTACTTTCTGTTAGCTTTTTAAAATCTGTCGAAACGTAACTCACGGACTATGTAATTAATCCATCTAAAGTGCAATCAAGTCACTTTTAGTGTAATTACAGGGTTCTGTAATCATCAACACAGTCAAGCTTAGGACATTTTTTTACTATTTAAAGAAACCTTATAGTTTGTCAAATTTTC